CAGCATGAGCCTTATATACCAGATAAAGTGTGGGTTTTGTTTAACTAAAGAAACAACAATCAATTTCAAAGTTGGGCGGTTTAAGTGATTTACAAGGATAATTTTGACACATCAGATTTTTGTCATACAGTAACTTTAGAATCTAATCTCTGTAATAATAGTAAATTACATTATGCTTATTATTAACTAAAACTGTCCTTACTCAATTTCCACTAATTTCTAAGTATTTTCTTCAACCCTGTGTTCTCTTCCATATCTCCCTAATCTCCTTGTTACATCGTTAATTTTTTAAGTCCTGTTTTAAAGATGTATGTAACATTTGAGAAAAGAAATCTAAAACATACATAAATATGCAACCTAAGACCAATTTCATACAGAAAGTCATTCACTAAACTTTTAAATAAACATTTTTAGATAAGCCATGTACACATAAATTGTTCTAGTAAAACAATTACTAGTAGTGTTGCAGGCAGTGTTAATTTTTTTATTTCAAAAGAAATTAGTGGGTGATGTTATATACGACATTCAAGTCACCAACCTCACAGTGAAGCATCTCACAAATGGAGTGAATGAAGTCTAACAAGGTAATAGAAAGAGTTCAGAAGAGATTAAATCCTTCTTGAAGAAGTAGGAAACTCCAACCCAAAGTGGTAAAACTGACTTTAATTTAATTCTATATCAGACATTAATAAAATGTAGCAAGTTTAAAAATTTAATTCTAATGCCATTTAAAAAAATCAAACTAAATGACTCCTTCAAAATCTACGAAGATATATGAGATAAACAGGCCAAGGGGTAATCTCTTTTGCTGCAAAACCTGTAGAATGGAGATTACTCAGCCCTACAACAGATTCCTTCTGGGGAAAGACATGAATAAGTTCAAGAACAAAGGTGGGAAAAGAAAGTAAACAGGAATTGAGAGAATCTACCATTAAGAAATAGTGACTAAAATATGTAACTACTATAGGATAGACTTTAGGAAAAAGGAAATTGAACTGAGAGAAAGAAGATATACAAAGGAATAGTGGATAAAGACACAATACCAACTACCATTAACTACATGAAGTAATAATTGATAATTGAGTGGGTATGTAAACAAGGTGGTACTAAAATATAAGATGGGCAGTGATGGTAGTCAACATTAAAGCATTTTTAAAGTCTTTGTGCTCTTTGGGAGAAGAATTAAGATGTCTAATAATGCAACGCTAGAGAGTCTAGATTTTTTTTTAAAGCCTTAGGATAAAACATGACAGAGACAAAGACAGTTACTCATAATAAAAGGAATAATCTACAAAGAAAACGTAATTCTTAATTTGTGTGCACCTAGTAACATAGCTTTAAAACCTATTAAGTAAAAACAAACAAACAAACAAACAAACAAAACTATAAAGCAGAACTTGACAGAGCTACAGAAAAAACTGACAAGCCCAAAGTCATGGTATAGATTTTTCAACATACTCTAGCAGAACTGATAGATCAAAATAGTCAAAAAGTTAGGAAGAAGAAAAAAGATCTGAACAACACAATGAACTCCTTTGAATTAATGGACCAGAACCATCCACAAATAAAACACAAATAGATGAGTTACAGAAATTTACCAAATGCTAGGCATGTCTTAACAAATAACAAGGATTTGATTTTGTACAGGCATGTTCTCTGGCCACAGTGAAACTAAGAAACACTTATCTTAGGAAAGAAGACAGAAAATATAAGTATCCAACTCAGGAAATTTAGAAAAAGTACTAAACAGTAAACAAAAAGAACACAAGAAGGAAATAGACAGGAGCTGAAAATGGTATCAGAAAATAAAGAGATGCTTTAAAAAAATCAATAAAATCAAAAGCCTGTTCATTGAAAAGACAAACTTCTGAGGAGACTGATCGAGAGAAAAAAAAAAAAAAGCGGTACAAGTAAACAATATAAACAAAGCAAAGGCTTAAAAAACAAAGAGAATAGTGTGAGTAACAGAAATAATAAATTTTAAAATTTATACAAAATAGACAATTTCCTAGAAAAATTAACTTACCATAACTGGCTCATGAAGAAACAAAACTGATAGAACCTGGTGATAGACAGGAGGTAGGGAATGAAAGAGATGCTGAAGATGACTTTTAAGTCTCTAATTTGTTGGGCTTATGGATGTGAGTTCTATTTATTCAGAAGGAAGAAACTAGAAAAGAAGCATTGGAGCAGGTTGGATATCGTTTTATTTGGTTATTTTTTGTTTTATATGTGTGTATACATGTAGGGAGGGGTTGGTGCTGGTAGTAGGGGTGGTGTGCATAAGTCATAAATTTAATGGCTATGTTTGGATATGTTGAAATGGAGGTTCTTTTTAAGACATATAAATGGAGATGTTAAGTATGTAGTTGGATCTATGGATCAGGAGCTCAGGAGAGATCTGGGGTGAAGATACATATTTGGGAGTTACCTGTATTTAAAAGAGAATTAAAGCTACAGGATATTGCTGAAATTCTCTAGGCAGATAGAGCATTGGTTCTCAAAGTGTGATCTCTGGTCCAGCAACCTCAGCATCACCTGGGAACTTGACAGAAATGTGAATTTGGGGGCCTACCCCTGACCTACTAAATCAGAAACCCTGAGAATGGGTCTTGCAACTTTATATTAACAAACCCTCCAGTGATTCTGACATGGGCTAAAATTTGAGAACCACAGATATAGAGTGAGACGTCAAGAGGGCCTGGGGCCTTGCCTTGAGAATGCCAACATTTAACAGAGGAGGCTGAGTCTGCAAGGATGACTGAGAGCAACAGGAAGAGGAGAGTATGAAAATGAAAGTATTTCAAAAAAAAGTGTTTCAAGAAGTAGAGTGGCAAATACTACTGAGATATCACTTACGATAGCTCCAGAAGGGAGTGAAATGGGTTGAGAAGCAAGCAGGAGTTGAGAAAACAGAGACAGCGAGCGTTTGATCGGTTTGATCATATAGGAGAAAGAGAGGGTGGAGGTGGAAGAGGTTGACAAGGGAAGATTTTTTTTTTAATAGAACAGTAATGAGCATGATGAACTGCTGAGAGGAAGGATCTGGTTCAGAGGGAAAAAATGGTTGTACAAGAGAGATGGGGAACTGACAGTGATGGCATACTGAGGGGGCAATGCAACTGGCTGCCTCGGCGAGAGGAACATTTTATTACTGACAGTGTTCAGAACTGCTGTACATGGTGACAATAAAAAGCAGACCAACTTTTTTATTGGTTTTATTACTACTTTTAAATTTCTATCGATCCTGCACCCCTTATTGCCTGCACTGGAGGTGGCCCACTCCAAAATGCCCTATCCTTGTGTCACTAGATGATAGATAGTACAAAGTTTATGAGAAGGGAGAAGAGGTGCAACTTAAAGCACAGGTGAAAGGACTGTCCTTGGATAAGAGGGACAGATCACCTTTTCAACCAGAAGAAGGTAAACAATTTGAGCACAGATGTGGCAAGTATGAAGTGTGGTAGCAGTAAACTGAAAGAATCGCCATCAAATGGCTTTTCTTTTTCTCATGAGGTCATCAGCAACACCATCCCTACCATGAGATGCTATGTCGCATTCATTTGGCCCACTGCAATTAAACATATGATTTGTCAAATCCATATTCACTAAGCAACCTTCTACTTGTGATTTGGCTCCCCGTGGGGCACTCATGTGCTGACTACACAGACTTGAGTATGTCTCAGTGGTTTCTCATAGTAAATTGATAAACTAGCTTTTGAACATGATTTGGTTTCTACGTAGGCTGACTACAGATAATAGATAGATCATGGTCCTTTCATAGTTGTATTTTTTACTGAGTTATTTTCTCAGGATCTGATTGCTTTTGCACAAAATGACTAAAGTAAATCTCTAGGCCTATGGTGGCATAAGCCAGATCCACAATTAAGTAGCCAATCAGAGTGCTCTCCTTCTCTGTCATGCCTTGCTCAGCAAGAGCTGGCTTTAATTAGCTGTCACTGGCCAATTTCTATCTCTTCTCTCTCAATTCATTTATATAATCGTCTGTTCATTAAGACACTTTAAATTGGCTATCATTGCATTGATCCACTAGTTTTTGTAGGGAGGAATTTCCAAGAATAATGCAGGAAATAAAACAAAGACCTCAATGAAATATATCGAACAGAGACCTCAGTGAAATTTTTACCACCATTATTCATTGAACAAATATTTACAGACTATATACTCTGTGCAAGGCTTGATATTAGAACTGTGGGGGATACAAAGTATTCAAAGGTATTTATAAGCCAGAAATAAAAGCAATTAGCCCCACAAAAAACAGGCTTGTGGAAGCAGACTTTGATTGCAGGGGAGAAATTAGAAATAAAGAAAAAGTCTTTATAATAAAAGTTTAAATTAAAGCAGAAATAGGCTATCAAAGGAAATCTTGGAATCTGAGTAACTTTAAAAATATGATGACTTAGAAACAGAAAGCCTTGCCTGGTTACAGCAACCCCTCTGGAATTAAGCACAAAAGTGACTCAGGACTTTCTGATATATAAAAAACATGTCAGTCTCTTTGCAGAAGGAATAAATCTGGCTGTGAATTAGTTTAAATTTAAAAGTTTATTTAGGGTTCTTACCCCCAGGTCCTCAAGTACCCTAGTCTTTGAGTTGCCTTGCAATACTGATTCTGTCCTTCCTCCTCTTTGCTCCCCTTGTTCCTCTCTATCACAGTCCATGCTCAGGCACAAATAAGATGCAGTTTTCTCATGACCTAGAATTTTCTGCCATTGAATCATATCAGCTATACACGGACACACTGCCACCCAAGCTCTGTGTAAATGATTTGATGACCTTGGGTATTTTAAAAGTGCCTAGCACACAGCTTGTACTCAGTTAAGATTCATTTCCTCCTTTCTTTCCTTCCATTTTTTTTTCACTCCTAGTGAGGAAGGGGGGGAGGGGGAACAGAAACCAACAAAAGACAGATCTCCTGTAAAATAGTATTCCTTAGGGTAAAAATACTGAAAAGGTTGAAATCACTGCTCATTGCCTACCTTGTGTCTGCGGGACGTAAGGAGACAGCAGTTTTGACCTTTTCTTTTCATATCCTTTCTGTGTGATGTCCCCTAAAATAGCAAGAAACAGAAATAGGTTATGTATTATTCTTATACTATGGTTGTTCACTGTAAAAATAAAATTAATTACAGAGTGCTATAGAATTACCACATAGAGTAGGAAAAAAATATATAGTTCTTTGCCAGAGATTTTGCTGTGTGTGATTTCCCACAGGCTTGGAGCTGACTTCTTGTGGAAAATTGTAGGGCTTGTCCCTACAACAATCTAGCACAGAAATATGAGACATACCATGTCAGAGGTTCCCAAGTTCCTAGGCGCCCTTCATTTCTTTGGTATTTAATATATACCAAAATGGAATGCTGCAAGGCTGGCAGAAAAATGGTCTTCTCTCCAAAGTTTCAGTTTGATCAAATGAATACAATTCAATTATATTGCTAATTGATCCATGTAAAATCAAAAGTCTAGGCAAGGGGAGAAGTCAAGGTTCAGACACTTGGATGGGTTACTTGAAAGGCCCTTCTGCACCCTAATACCTGAGTGGGAACCTGAGGCTGGAACTCCCACATCCTCTCCCTTCAGTTGACTGGTCTGTATTATTTATATACATGTATGTCTTTTTCACAAGATTAAATAAAAAAGTACACATGAAGCACACAAAAAGTCCATATACAATAAGTGCAATAAGAATAAACTGATTAATTAAGTAGAAAACGTGTGGTTGAAGCCAAGAAACATGCTAGGTACTAAAGGAAGGGTAGCAGATGAATGGGTAGAGTGCAGAATCAAAAGAAATAGGAAATGCAGAAGAACAACAGGCTATTCAAGGGAGACAGTAATTCAAAGCTGGGAGAATAAATATATGTGGTGAGGTGACATGCCAGAGCATTATTTTCCAAAAAGAATTGTTTTTTGTCAGAGAAAACTTTATGTAAAAGTCAAATTTTAGTATAAGAAGTAATTTATGTATTCAAATTTACAACATTTACTTACTAAATAGTCAATGTGCATCAGGGGGCATATTTTGATGAACACAGAGATTTGAAGTCAAGAATGATGAATGTCAGTTGCCGTTGGCCTCAGCATCTGATAGAGTAGACAGTAGATAGGTAGCAGCGCTCACTGACCAGGTTAAGCAGGAGCATAACAATCGCAGAGTGTAGCAAGTTCACTCTTTCTGAGGAGAATGGGACCAAGGGTAGAAGCCAGAGAGATCAGATGTTGCCCTAATGCTGCTACAGTGATCTGGACAAGTTAGTAGGAGCTTAAATGAAAGACAGTGGTAAAAGGGATGAAAAGAAGTGAATGGATTGAGAGACATTAGGGAGGAAGACTGGTTAGGATTTGATGATTGGTTGAGTATACTGTGACGATTTCTCCAGCTTGAACAACCAGGCAGTTGGTGGTGATATTCATTGAGAAAAAAATACAGCAAGCTGCCATATTGGCAGACTGAAGTAAATGAGAGCTGAGCTTAGGAAAGGCCTGTGAGATACACAAGATGTCCAATTAACAGACAGATGGATCTAGAACTCAAGAAAGAGATATAGATTTGGAATCATAAGGCTATAGTTGAAAAACAAATTGATACAATCTCTTTGGAGTAATTTGACAATTTTTGTCAATTTTGATCCAGCAACTACATTTCTAGGAATTTATTCAATGATAATATTCACACGGGTGCACAAAAATCAATACAAGAATACTCTTTCACCCATTCTTTGTAATGAAAAAAACTGGACTCTAGATGCTTACATTATAAGCCATCTAAA